ATTGAAAGATCGCGACGAGGGTTGGGCGCCACTCACCCCACCAACGTTATTAGAGTAGAGAAGCCCAGCAGAAGGCAGGGGTCTTCCTTCCCACGTACTCGTAGCCCCGGGGCCCATGGCGCCTCTGAAGGGGATCGACGTCTGTCCCTGCACGTACGTCGCCTCCCCCTCCAGCCCCCGCGAGAAGCTTCCTCGCATGCTCGCCGGGTACAAACCGCTGCCAGGGAAGGAAGAGGGGGAGGAGCCCAAGTAGGAGGTGTTGCTTCCTCTGCTGCCGTACATCCCCTTGCTGCCAGGATGCAGCAGCGGCGTCTCCTCCCCCCGCCCGCCAGACCCTCTGACGTTGCGGTCGTCAGACGCGTCCTTCTCCCACTCGCGGAGGAAGGAGACCCAGAAAGTGTCGTCGAGGAGGTTGACGAGGAGGAGGAGCGTGAGGAGGTTGAAGAAGCCGTAGTTGCCCGAGACCATGATGAGAACCTGAAGCAGCGCCACTGCCCCCGCAGCTCCATGCCGGACGACCCGAAGCGGGCAGATGAGGAGGAAGGCGACAGGGATCTCGATCACAAAGACGAGGGCGACGCCGAGCTGGAGAAGGAGAGGATGGAGCTGCCGCAGGTACCAGGCCATGGGGGTCGGGATGGGCTGAGAGGCGAAGTGGTAGGAGAGGGCGGTCAGCTGCTGCCAGACGCGGTCCTTGGAAGCGATCTTGACGACGCCGCTCATGAGCATCAGCTTGAAGAGGAGGAAGCGAAGCATCCAGAGGGGAACGCGCGGCACCTGGGAGCTGCGGCGAGGACGAGTCCAGAGAGGAGCGTACATGACGGAGAGGAAGCCTGTCTCGAGGAGGAGGGCGTCCCACTGGAAGTACATGAACACGTCTCCAACCGTTGTCAAGGACAGGTACAGCACACAGCACGCGAAGATGACAGGAGCTGTCCCGAAGCCGATGGCAGCGATCGAGGAGACGAGGAGGCCGAGGACGGCGAGGAAGTTGCACAGGAGGTACTCGTCTATCCCAAGTGCCGCATGCCACCGCACGATGGTGGGGTAGAGCTGCCAGCGCAGGCCGCGAGAGAGCTGGAGCTGCTCGGTGAGGGGGAGGATGCCCTGGCTGCCGTAGAGCCCCTCGAACTGGATGAAGTAGGAGGAGAAGGCGACGAGGAACATGAGCCCCAGCCCCTGCAGAAAGATCGCTCGCGATTTCTCGTATGCCGCTGGTCGCTCCTGCTCGTATGCCGGCTCCGATGTCGCTTTCCCCTGCCTCCCCACCTTCTCCAGCAACGCTCGAAGTCGCTGCACCCGCTTCTCCCACCATTTACCCATCGTGCTGACCATGTTGCCCTATCAGACAAGAGTCTTAGCTCTACCTCATCCACACGGGCGATGCTTGCTCGTCGTCCATGACGTGGATGAAATTTCTTGATGAACTGACAGACCTGTCAGCTCCTAAGTCAGCTCAGGTTCACCTTCCTCCTTCTACGCCATCCCTCCTTTGCAAGACACCACCTCATGCTACCTTATTTGCCTTCTTGTGCCACCCCGGCACACTACTCTCCCTCCTTCCACCAGCACACTTTTCTTTCCTCCCCTGCATTCTCGATTCTCATTCTAACATTCACTCTCTGTTTCCTTCTCCCCTCAATCACTTTCTCTTGCTCTCTAACTCACTCTTTCTCATATCCTCACCCCTCTCCCCCTCCCCATCTTTTTCTTCGTCCCTGCTCCTGCGCGCGCGCTCTCTCTCTCCCTCCTCTCCCTCTCCATGCCTTCCCTCCCTTCTACCATCTTCTCTCTCTCTCCTTCCCTTCTCTCCCTTTCCGTCCCTTCTTTCACTCATCTCCTCTATCTATATCTCTACTCCCCT